TTGAGTGTCAGTCAATATAATAGCGGTACACTAGATCATTTCTCTACACATTCCCTACATATTTTGGTTTACAATCTTTAATGTACATTCAACAATTACAAGCGATCCTGAGACATGTAGTAGAATATGTGGGTCTTCATCAAGAACAACAAAAAGAATTTTTTACTCACAAGAAAAATATCGAGTGTTCATTCAGCAAGCTAAATAAGACTATCGGAACTATATTGTTCAAAGCTTTTACTGTATAAACAAAACATACTCGTCCATCAGCTGAGCTGGAAGCAAACGCTTCACCATTAGGAGAATATCGTACACCATAAACAGATTTTTCATGATTCTATAAACCAAAAGCATTTTAATATAAAGACAAATGAGCAGAACTGTTTATTGCTACTATTAAACTTATCAACAGTGTTGTTTTCAACCGGAATGATGGCACATCAAAGAATGATACAGAATTATCTTCACTACCGGTTATAGCTCTATATGGTCGAGTTGGCTTAAAATCGAATTTGTTGCAGGTGAGCGTTTTCGTTTCCTCGTTGATAGTGTATTTGATCGATGCATCCATATCATATATCTTATATAGTTTTTGCTGAAAATATGTGCGGTAATTGACATTCAAACAGTGTATTATTTGCGCTGATGCTGTTTGTTGACCTGCGGTATGGTATTTGTTGATCTGCAACTATATAAGATATATGATATGGATGCATCGGTCAAATACATTATCAACAAGGAAACGAAAACGGTTTTGGATAGAATGTTTTTCATGTTCTTATGCGTTTCCGGATGCATTATCATTGTGACAAAACCTTAGAGCAATCAGTTTTCTTCGAGACCCATCTACGCAAGCAATGGACGTTCGGCCTTGTACAAGACAACACAAGATGAGACTAGAATACTACACTTCGCTGATCGATAGTTGCTTCGAACCAACTATCGATCAGCGAAGTGTAGTGCACTAGTCTCAATGTACGCACACTACAATAGTCTAACAAAATCGTTTTAGCAATGGTTTTTTAAAATCTCCTGTCATGTACTCCCTCAAAACTCAAAATGTCGAATGTATAATGATAAAATAGACCGATCGTGAAATTAGGAGAACTTTGAGTGTCAGTCAATATAATAGCGTACTACAGTAATGAAAGCAAGACATTCATCCCTTTCTTTTTTTCATGCGTTAGTGACTACACTGTAAAAAATAATTACGGTAAAAAGTGGAAAAAAGCAAAAAAATGCAGGATCCACAATATCCTGCATTGTGATGTCTATTCTAGGATATTCTATCATATTGTGAGCAAAATTTTAGCAGAATTCCCATTATGTCTCACTATACGCCTCAATTTCGCAGAAAATTATAAACTGTCACAACATTATGCACGATTGTGAGACATAATGAGAATTTTACTAAAATTTTCCACACAATATGGTAGAATATCCTAGAATAAACATCACAATACGGGATATCGTGGATCCTGCATTCTTTTGCTTTTTTCTACTTTTTACCGTAATTATTTTTTACAGTGTAGTAGTGGGTTGCAGCACATACACACGATTGAATATCTAAATTCTATTTGTTAGAATCTATTAGGTCAAAATTTGCGAACACTGTTTATTGAAGAAAGGTTGTATATAATAAAACAGAAAACGATAGAAGAAGAAACATACAACAACTGATTCACAGGATTAGATTGGCAATCGTCAAAATTCATTTTATTTAGCTGTGACACTATAAACTGAGATAAACATGTTAAATGGTACGCTTTACTTTTTATTTCTTTTCTATCAAAGCAAGGTCTTTGTTTCAAATTTCTTCATACGCAGTTTTTAGTAAAGACCAAATTAATACAATTTTAAGGCGCGCAACATATTGAAATCTAAAGTAAAAGAAAATACACAAAAAGTGCGTCCGGGTAAAGATTACAAAGATCCATCCATTTTTCTCTTAAAATAACTGCTACACAATTAGAAAATTCTGAAGTTTTTCCGATATTTGTCCATTTCTTTCCGTGCTAAAAAACAAATGGGTTAAAAAAAATTAGTTTTTTTATCATTTCATTTTCCGTTTACTCATTAAGCTGAGATTTAACCAAACATGATTCTATTGAAAAATCCGAAGTGACAAAATTTTTTTTTGAAACTGTAAATTCTTGTAATAGCGTCAAGATATAGACCACAAAAAAGCCACTTTCGTCAGTAAAGTAAATGTTTTGAGAGTAGATACTTTCGGCTGTTATACTTCTTCTTCAATAATCTAGTAATATATTTTATTATTTGTTTAACATTTGGACTACCCAGTCCCGTAACTGGATCCCAACCACGTATAGCTTGAAAACCCTGACATTTAATTGTACAATAACTCCTATCAGGACATTTATTATCACCAAGTGTTATATCATTAAAACACGTGGGACACTCTTCTGACATTTTGTACAATAAGGGATTAAGAAAACCCAATGTTTTGTTTGTCCATTTTAATGAATATGAATTTAAAATTGATACAATACCAGCCCACAATGGTGCTGACATACTTGTACCACCAAAAGCCTGATAAGTCCCATTGAATACAACAAAGCCCCGAGTACCAAACGCAGAAACATCTGGAAATCCACGATTACGTCGATTGTACATTGATGTTGGTGGTTGACACTTCATTAAATTGAAATATTTTTCTACAGCTCGTCTTTGATAGATGGGTTGTGAAGTGTAGGTGGAAAATCCACCGCCACTTGTATAGTGACTATACCCAATATCAACTGCTACTTCAGTTCCATCCGAAACACAGTGAGCTAATGTAGCATTTGTGTTTCCATGTGGAGGTATGATTACCGAACATGCAGGTGGTACGCTTTCACTGTCATTATATGCAATATCAATTAATTCTGTACCACCGACGGATGTCAAATAGGGAGAAGTTCCTGGATACGCTGGATGAAATATTTTATTTGTACAATTTGCTTCATAACCAAATCCATTTGCACCTTGGTCACCTGAAGCTGCCAAAATACTGATTCCTCTCATGGATAATTTCATAAATTCGATGTTTGTACGTCGAATATAAATCACATTGGAATTAAATGTTGTATTACAGTCAGCAGTGAAATTATTACATAGACCGGTTTCCGGATCGCCATAAGATATTGATAGCACCTGTGGTAAATCGTCCAATTGATTCAATGTTAATATTGTTGTATAGAAATTTTCACCACTGCCATCCGGATTAACGCCAGATTCATAATTAATAAACCAGTTCTCAGCCAATGGATTAACACCACTT